TAGAGGTGCATGCATGGCATTTTTTGTCTACATATTCTCTACGGATTTTCTAACGTGTAGTTAAAACGTAAAAAATGAATAGGACATCGCAGCAGATACTTGGTTTTCTCTAGGTAATCTCTGCGTGTTCTACGTCATATAGGGAATGCGTAGAAATAGGTGCAATTAACATAATTAATCTGTTTTCTCCTTTTCGATCATTATATTGTATTGCTTATACCGCGTGCATCTAGAGCAATGAATATATTATAATATTTATTTGTTGTACAAATACTTTATTATGCAATTTATTATACTGATATTACAGCGGTTAAGTTTTCAATATTATTAATTACTTATTCGAAGAAATTCGAAACAAAATCAATCTATAAAAGATAAAAATGTGACTTTGTATATGGAAAACAAGATAAGTCATCTGTACATTAAATCCTCGTATCAGACGAGACGTTAAGGCGCAAACACTACGATCAAACTAATTTAAGACTCCAAACTCTTTATTTGGAATTGGTGTTAGCAAAATCCGAGCAAAAGTCCATATCCTAGTTCTAGGGGAAAGAAATTAGTTTTCATTTTAGTTTTTATCACATGCACGATGAAACTGACAATAATTTTATAGGGTAATATAGGGAATATAGGGTAAAAACCAGACGAAATTTTTCTGTGAAAAATGCCATGTCTTGTCGGCGAAATTTTTCAAATAAATCGGATATGGTAATAAAATTAAAAAAAAATTATATATCGAAGTACGTAACAAGTATCCTTTCGTATCTATAGGATTGGACTTTTCAGATAAATATTCGAATAAAATTTCATATTGTCTAAAGAAAATCGATATAAAAAATGCTAAAAGGCGAAATTTTGTTTCGCTTGACGACAATACTTTAATTAAATTTGTAAAGACGATAGCCTTAGATGCTAGTGCTTTTAAGAGTTTAGTCTTGGAATTTATTTCTCTGGCGAAATTAATAATAATAATAATAATAACAATAATTAAATTTGTCCTATGCGTGATCTCAGCATGTAACTATCTGTATGTAACGGTAAAGATATTCGTTTAAATCGATTCCACTGCACGTGATTATCGAAGCTCTATATACTTTATTAATCCATAGTAGATAGTTCTACGTTTTCAAAGATCATTTCACAAGTCGTAATGTATTTTTACATAATAATCCTCCCATAGAAGGTAAGAAAGAAACAAAGTTAAAAAAAGAAGTTATTCTTAATTGTCTTTTCCAATTTTCACGATGATTACAAAGTTACAAAGTATTTTATCGCACAAACATCATCATCATCATCATTATGTTTACAACATGTATTTACATGTTTGCGCAACATTACCTTTATTTCGATCATTGAAAAATTTCAATTAAGATAAATAAACTCATGTACGGGAAATTGTAAAAGAACAAAGACAATTTTTGTGACTTTACGCAACAAATATTAAACTATAAAAGGTTAGTAATGTAAGCAATTGAAAGGAATAGTTCCATACGTTTTGAATTATTTAGAAGTTTTTGATGCGGAATTTCAATAGCAAAATGAAATATTGTAAGTAAATGATACGATACGATTTACAAATATATTTTTTTTTTTTGTTTTACTAAATAATAAAAAACTGTCACTGACATATGAGATTGATTGATTAGATCTTTGCTTGATTGTGTTGATCGCTTTGGGTGTGGCTTCCGTAAAAGCTATTGCTGGTCGTTCGGCTTGTCGTGACCCGGTAGAATTAGGACAAACTTATCCCCATCAATGGGATCCGACCAAGTACTGGTTTTGCGAGAAACCTAACGAAAATGCATTGGAAATGGATTGTCCAAAGGGTGAAGCGTACATGCATCATTTAAAAACCTGCATTCCTTGGCCTAATTGGATTTGGAAGAAGCCGGAAGATCCACCAACTTTGGCTTAAGGTCTTCTTATCTCAACTTGTTTTAGGCTTCCTAACAAACTGAAAAAACAAAAAACTAAATAAACTTGACAATGGATATTTAGATCGTTCATTTTTGTATATGAATATAATTTATTATTGCTTTTTTAACAAAAAAAAAAAAAAAAACCGCACACAGGCAAACACAGGCACAAACATGGAGATATTGGAGGTAGGAGAAATTTCAGAAATCCTGTAATTCCCTATACATACATAGTCTCGATTAGCTTCATGTGTTAAGCAGACCGTGGCATATTTCTTTGCCCGTCTGTGCATTGATACGTCTTGAACTTTGCAAAAATATTGAAAGTTCTTGGGCGCAGATAAGTGTTAAAAATGGGACGAGAAGATCGCTGGTTTCCTTACGAAGGATATAACAATCATAATTTCCCCACTTATGAGCGAACTTGTAGTAGTTGTAGAAAAATCGAAGAAATCGGCTATGCCCGTCCAATATTATAGAGAATTGAAATTTCATTTCTTTCGAGAGAGAAAGGTGGTCACTATAACTCATTCTCTTTATTTGTGTTTATTCTTTCCTGATCCTTTCTTTGATCCTTTTGAAAGTCGATATCTTAAACTTGGTTTATTTGGACTCCATATGACATTATTTTACACTGTTCGTCCTGGATTAAGCAGATCATTGGTCGAATACTTAAGCAAAAAATCGGAGCCATGTATTTTTATTTTAAACACTCCAGCCTTACTCAACTTTTATGCTTTCACTTGACGGCTTTGAGATTTCAAGTTCAAACATTTCGCATAAGGAAGTAGATATCATTTTCATTATAATTATATTTATTTTTAATGATTTAATGCTACAAATATATATAAACTGTTTTTTTTTTTGGCTGGAACACGTTCACTTTGCTATGTCTAGACGAGGGATAACAATTTTTACTGAAACCCGTCAATTTGACAGGTAATTTTGTGAATCGTCACCGTCGCAATAATAAAGATAGGAGGATTAAATTTGGGCATAAACGTTACCTGAACGATTAGGAATATCTGGTTAAAAAAATCGCTTGATCCGTTCAGATACGCGTCCAGAAACTGGACTAAAACAACTTCGATAATTTTTTCCAAATTTTCGTCTATAACTTTCGATTCCACCAATGTATTTATGAGAAATTCAGATCCAAATAATCGACAGAAACATCTGCCAACCCTGACATATGATCAGTGCAAAAATGGTCCCGATCAGTTTATTGGTACGTCCTAAATTACCAATAAAACTTTAATTCCCATCTAATCGAAAGCGCACTTGGACGGTTGCGTTAGCAGTCTTGTCGGAACCACATTGAAATCGAATGTGATGCTGATCCTAATGAATACCTGGACTCTATTATGAAATATGCAAAAATTCTTTGCTACTTAACTGTGACTGGGTGAAGAAAATGCTAGCATGCTTTCGAATTGTTGTTGTTTTCTAAGATTGGTTTACTTTTTCCTATATTCTGGGCGTGTATATTATGCCCATATTTTGACCACATATTCCTAATCGATAAGGTCTCAATAACAATAGATTTATACAAAACGTCTACACATCTAATGTTAAATAGATTATGTCTTAAAGCATTTGAAGTTTAGAGAATATTATTTGAAACTCGAAAAACTTTATTTATTATTTAAACTTTAGAGTATTAAAAAGAAAATATTTCAAGTGTTCACGTATTCAAGTAGAGATCTTCCGTTGCAAGGATCGTTTGAACCAGCTATCCCTATCAGGGATGCATTTTCCAATCCACTGCTAACTAACTCTCATATATTGAACTTATTATAAAATACTCTTAACTATCTATTCGATCTATATATGGTATAGTAGTCAGGAATTTCAATAATCTTCCTTTCTTAACGAAATTTTGGTTTAAAAAAAAAAAAAAAAGTTTTTACTAAACGGTATTCCTTGAAAGAGACGGACACGTGCATCATCTTGTAAGGGTGAATTACTTTTAATAAAGTTGTCTTCAATTACAAATCATTTCAATAAATTAATAAATTCATTTAGTATATGGTTCAATCCATTTCCACTCAGACCAATTGACGCAACGTTGTAAATGCTCCATAAAAGCTTCATCGGCAGGGCATCGAACAGTATCAGCTTTTTCGTTACCCAGGGGACAAATCCAATAACGGGTCGGATCAGAAATGTCACGAAACTTACGAGCGTGATCGGTGACAACGGCACAATTAGGCTCTGCATAGATTTCCTGAGGCTCGTAATGTGGTGGCACACGTACTACATTAGCCGACGCTACGGTTATTAGTAATGCGAAGCAAGCAATAACGCTAACTGCGAAACAAATTTTTTGTTAAAAGAAAGAAATATATTTAGACTATATAAGGAATAAGGGAACAATTACGTACTTCCTTTCATTTTGCTATAAATGTAACTGGTGAAGATAACCGAGCCAAACGAAAAGTTTTATTAGCAAAAAGTTTTGTTTGGTTATTTATACAAAAAAAATCGATGAAAATTTCCACTTTTTATCTATAACGGTAAAGCATCAAAACATGATAATTATCATTTAAGATAAGGCAACAATTGTTACATATAGTATTTATTTATGTAAAGATTTTGCAGTTACCACTTATGTTTCCAAATCAATTCTTATCGAAAATTATTTTCCTTCTATTTAATTAACTTAAACGATATCGATTGTCGTCTTGACCGTTGGGTAAAATTGTAATATTCTCTTAACGTAAGGGTTAATATCCGGGATAAACTTTTTAGTTTTTATAAAAAAACGTAAAGGGTAAGTAAAATTATCCTAAATCGAAGATTTCGTTAAAATGCAAGGCGGTAATCCCATCCTAAACCTAGAAAAATATGAAATGTTTGTCTTTCGCCAAAAAAGCTAAAGGAGGTGGTCGGTCACGTCGTCCTAAATCTATAAAAAGCTCGTAAACTAAAAAAAAAAGAAAATTGCCTTCTTCGCTAGAAAGAGGATGATTAATTTTGATGACTCTGCTGGTCGTCAGACCGGATTTACATCCAGTTTTAAAAATTGCAAGTCAAATAGATAGCTGTCACGTTCGCATTTTGGCAATTTTGGCATATATCAAACCGCAAATAGGCGGACCAGTTAATCCTTGTCTAACTAACATTCCCTATAGTTCCTGGTTTCTACATTCTTTAGGAATAGGAAGCAACTTTGCAAGATCTCAATATTATAAATTAAATGAAGAAGAAAAGGTAGTTTTTAACTTTTGCTCTATACATTTATATCAAGCACAAATTTTAATATTAATAAATAAATTAATTAATTTCTAAGCAATTTGTAATTAATTGTTCTTAAATTTCTTTTTTAAAACCTTATTAATATTTATATTTTTCTTAAAAGGTTTCTCACCGATAACACAGCATTCAAAGGCAGTGACGTGAACTTTCTATCTTGATCCTGTACCTAACTCAGAAAAAAGGTATTAATAGGAAATTTATGCTTAATTTTTTTTTCGCGATTTCGTCAATTATATATGATGCTGAAGAAGATACACTGGTCGACGATTTCTGACGTAACATCATACAAATATTTAACCCCTTTTTTTTTTTAAACTGGATTACAAGGAGTGGGATTGGTTTCATTAGGATCAATCAATATATTTACCACGTCTTTGAGAACAATTCAATACACATTTATTACACATTTCCCATTTAACAAAGAAACTTTCCAAATGGAATCTTTATTACAAACATATCAAATATAAATTTATAATGTTTTATGTAGAAAATAGAAAAGAAATCTTTATTCATATTATCTAATCTAAGTTTTTATTTTACTAGATACATTTGTTTATATTTGTCATGTAAAAATATATTGTTATAATCCAAAAAAAGAAAGTAATAATAATAAAGCAATATCTCTTTTTAATAAAATACAAAGTAAGAATAAATAATTTTGTTTTCTTGTCTACTTGATGTAAGTAAAAGTCGACACGCGTAGGTAATGTGACGTAGACAATGACGTCATATGTAGACAATGACGTAGACAATGGCGCCATGTGCAGATAATGTGACGTAGACAATGACGTCATATGTAGACAATTGCGTAGACAATGGCGCCATGTGTAGATAATGTGACGTAGACAATGACGTCATATGTAGACAATTGCGTAGACAATGACGTCGTATGTAGACAATGGCGCCATGTGTAGATAATGTGACGTAGACAATGACGTCATATGTAGATAATGTGACGTAGACAATGACGTCATATGTAGACAATGCCTACATGTATATACATTCACTAATGGGAATGTTGTTGACGCTGCAATGTTTATATACAACATGTTTAGCAACATAATGTTGCCCAAAAATATGGTAAGGCGTATGCATGCTTTTTGCAAAAACGGAAACTTTGAAGCACTCTAGCGGCCGAACTACGCCCCTTAGGGGCATGGTTACACTTGGAATGCGTTCGGGGCGATCAAAGGAATCGAATGGAACCAGTCCCGATGTCCTAGGACCGCTAGGAACGCCAATAAACCGCCTCAAAGTTGGCCATTTTCACGTTTTTGCTGGAATGGTCAGAAACATTTGAAAAATGTTTATATACATAAAAATGTTTATAAACAAAAATATGAAAACCCTAAACCAAAAAAAAAATTGTTGGCAAAAAATTTTACAAAAACAACAAAAACTTTTGGAAAAATTTTTACAAAAACAACAAAAATTTTTGGAAAAAATTTTACAAAAACAACAAAAATTTTCTTAAAAAATTTTATTTACAAAAACAACAAAAAATTTTGGAGGAAATTTTACAAAAACAACAAAAATTTTATTTACAAAAACAGCAAAAGTGTTTACAAAACATGTCAAAGAAGGAACCACAGAGAAGAAGAAGGAACCACATTGAAGGAGAAGGGTCCACAAAGAAGGAGGAGGAGGACGTGGACGAGGAGGTGCTGGTGGAAGTGGAGGTGGACGAGAAGGAGGAGGAGTAGGAGTAGGAGGAGGAGAAGAAGAAGAAGAAGGACGTGGAGGTAAACGAGGAGGTGTTGGTGGAGGTGGACGAGAAGGAGGAGGTGTAGGAGGAGAAGGTGGAGGAGTAGGAGAAGAAGGAGGAGGAGAAGAATTTAAATGAACCGGCAGGAACAGCAGGAAGAGAAGGAACAGCTAAAAGAGTTGCATCCGCTGCAACCGCTGCAACAGCAGGAACGGCATCCCGCCGACTTCCCTAAACTCGACCACTTCAGCTTGCGCCATAAGGCAGCAAAGGATAATCTTCATATTGAAAGCGCATTGTCTTATATCTATATTTTTACAATTGAATTAAGAATTGTGCTGCTTCTAACAATGCATAAACAAAATATTTGTAAGAGAGCTTTTTTATAAAAGCTTTTCCGTATACAACATGTATGCGGAACAAAACTTGTACTTTGTACTTGTGTTTTAGGGATGAATTTCTTTCGATATTGTGATGCTTTCGTCTACGTTATTTAAGTTGACTCCATAGAATGAAGATCGATAGTAGCTCGTGACCAAAGTTCGTCAAGAAATAACGAATGAAGACATCTTAACAATTGATCATATTTAGCGACGGACAAGATTTTGCTAAATAATATCATAAACAAAATTAAATATTTCTGAACAAATTTCATAGTACACATAATAATATGGACAAATGCTGGATGCATCGATTACGGAAGAAGCTACCAACTACTGCTAATGATGGCTGCCAATAGTGAAGAATCATGCTACGGCGTTACCCTTATTATTATTATCAATGGAATGATTCGGATAAGTAACGCTTCAAGTTCATTTGTTGCGACTTATATATCTGCTATATATATGTATATATATATATATATTCTGTATATCTGTATATCGAGGACAACAATTTGTGGCAAAGATTTTTGCTAAATCAAAGCGATGAACAACGCGTACAGAACGGCACTATCAGAGTTTCCTATTCCTACTTCCAGGCGGGACTTTATAGCAAGCAACAATCGAGATTTTACATGTATATATATTCACATAAAAATAAATAATAAACGTTTTCAAGAAATAATGCGAATATTCAGATTAGTTACACAAATAATTTAACATCACTTAATTGCTTCTTTTAAACATCATCATCATCATCCCGCCTTTTTAGGGTTTCTCCACTTCCTCGCTCTCGCCGTTTTCAAAGTCTTGTTGCAACTTGAGCATTTCATTTTCAGCCTTCACTGCAGCGACCTCACTTTGCAAACGATAAATTTCCTGTTTAAAGTCATTCGTCATTTCATTCAAAGCGACGCGGTATCTAAAATACAATCAATTGTACTAATTTTTATAAGTTACACGTTTTTTTTTTTTTGTTTATTAATCGTTCCTACTTTTCTTTCAATTGTTTATTTATTTCAATGTAATGACGTAATTCTTGGTCCTGATTCGCCATAATTCTTTTTTATATTAATAGAGAAAAGTATTAATATACTTATTATTATTATTTATGCATTATTTTTTTTATAAATATAACTCACTTTTTATTGCGTTCTTCGCAATCATTTGGTGAGTTATTTTCATTTAGATTAATTCTTTGCTCCATTTCATACTAAAACAACAATAGAACACCAATTGGGGAAATTTTGAAAAGAAAAATCATAGAAATAAAAATTGTAATTATGATTACCAAAGTCTTGGCAGCCAATTCTAGTTGCTGTGATAAATGATCATTGTCTTTCATTGTCTCTTTATATTTTTGCTCAAAGCGATTGCAACGCGTATCCAAAATTTGATTAAATTTCTTTTGATTTTGTATTTCTTCTAGAAGCTTTTGTAAGAGAGAGAGAGAGAGAGAGAGAGAGAGATCAGTTAAAATAGATTAGAATAGATTATATTTGAGTAATTTGCTACTCGTCACTGCTCGTGTAATTATTTTTGAAATTAACCTGATAGTAGTAGAGACAAAAATGACTTTAAACTACGCCTAGTGGATCAACCAAATTGGTAAGGAATAGTGGTGACGTTTTAGATAATATTGTAGTAAAGAACCAAAGTCAGGATTTCGACAAAGGTGCGGAGACTAATTGAACGCTATCCGAAACGGTTTTAACGGATGTGAAAAAAAGCGCAAAGCAGATTAACAAATTTATGAGTTTTGTCACAATTTGTATACTATAATATTGAATCGAGATATTTAGTTTCTCCGGAGTTTTTTCACAATTTCTATACTATCCTATAGAATGGAGATATCCATTTTCTCCAGAAAAAATAAAATAAATTTTTTTAGGCGTTCTTCTGTTCTTTTGCCGGTATAGTAATGTGAGGGTGATCGGAATTTTATTTGCGAGGAAACACAATTTCTTTTTTTTCTTATTATTGACTTGACTCCTCTTCGAAACGATTTGAACAAGCTGTGAGTTTATTCGTCTTGTATATTAATACCAATATGACGAAATGATATTCAATTCGCCCGATAAACTAAGAAATAATAATAAAATTTAGGTGATCAGAATTTTTTTGAAAGAAACGACGACTCATGCACAGATAGAAAAGCTCGTTTTTTAGAATGACGCTTGCGTTGTTTCGTGGACCTTTCTGAATTTACTTATACTGGTACTGTTTCTCTGGCAATAATTAATATTAACACTTCTCTCGAGAGAGACATATACCTAACCTAACAAATAATTTAAACGTCATCTGAACAAAGATCTATTTTGTCGCTTGATTTGGGAACTACAGACGGAAGCTTTGTGTTAATATTTTTTTTTTTTTTAATGATCTAACGTTAAGCTGATCGAGAAATTATATGTTTTATATATGTGGATATTGATTGATGTAAATCCAATATATATATAGTTTTGTGATCGGAAATGAACAAAAAAAAAAAAAAACATGAATTGAGAGAATACCTTATTTTTCTCCGCTAACAAAACCTTTTCCTTTTCGACATATTTTCTACGCATAGTTTCCATATCTTTCTCAACTTTACGAGCTGCTTCATCCATTACTTGTCCTATTGTCGAGGCTATATTATCACATTCCTCTTTAAGGATTCTTTCACGTTTTAAAGCATCATCTTTATCAACAACCGCTGCTTCGGCTATGGCTAGCGCCTCTTGAACTTTTTGCAATGCGTTCTGTTCACGATTAAAGCGTTCCTCGATGGCGATTTTCGATTGCTTTAGTGCACTTTGTAAGTCGTTATTGTGCTTTGTAATTTCCTTAAGTTGATCCTGTAATTTAGTAAGACTTTCTAGGGTCTGAGGCATCTTTTCAAGTTGCTTGTCTTTTTCTAAACAAGATAATGCAAAAAAACAAAATGAGTTACGACAACGAACGATAAGACGACGTATATAAAATACCTTCGAGACATTTTTCCAATTTTTCAACCTGATTACGTAAGTTTTTTCTTTCATCGAAAAGACTTTCGATTACACAAGCCTTCTCTTTAAGTTCAGTCTTTTGATTAGCGATAGTACATTCCAACAATTTCAAAGCAGTGGTATATTTATGCTTAACCTAAATGTAGGTAAAATGAAAGATTTAATTACACATCCATATGGTATTGAATTCAAATCGAAATCTACTTACTTCGCAAACTGATGTTGGCTTAAACAATTGATTACGATAATTTTGTATCTCTTTTTCCAAATTTTCTATCGTTTTTTGCGAGTTTTTATGTAACAGGCGTAAGTCATTATTTTCCTATAAATTGTTATCATTCGCTTATATAATTATTTTACACTTTACATTATATTATATAATGAAATGATTACCGTTTGCAAATAGTCAATTTGTTTTTTAACATTTTTATAAGCGTCATTTGTTAGCTTTTCACGAGTGGCGTCATCACGTGAATCATTGCCTCCGGGACCAGTGCAGTGGGAACTTTTTAATATTTCCAGTTTTGAATTGATCTGGTGATTCTCTTCCATAATTTCCTTGATCGTTTGTTGTAATTGCTGCTGTTCATTCTGCATGTGGCCAAAGCAGTTATTTATTTATTTATTTATTTTTTTTTTTACTTCTTAATATTTATTACGTCTTAAAATAATTATAAGCAAATTGCAAAAAAAAAATTCTTTTCTTTTCTTTTTCTTTTCTTTTTTTTTTTTTTTTTTTTTTTTTTTTTGACAAAACACCCGAAAAATTTTTAAATCAATTTGTGTTTCCGTGATTAGTTTCTCACAGCTTTTTTTGATTGTTTTATAAATGCTAGAAAATAAATGAATTATTGATAGGAAAATCAAGAAATATTGTTGAAAATGAATTATTTTGAAAAAGTAACAATAATACTCAAGATCAAGAGTTTCCTTGTTTAACGCCAGCTCGCTCTTAGACATAATAAACTAAATATATTTAATAAGACATTTTCTTCGTTGACAAAAGTTAAGGAATTTCGTTCGCATTAATAAAAACGCAAAAAATATTTTCAATTAGAACACACTAATAAAAGAAGAAGTTTGATATTATAGGTGAATAATAGTATAGTAAGTAATTACCTAAGCTTTTAAAGGTGTGTTGTTTCTATGGTTTTTCTCTTATGTCTATCTATCTATTATGCCAAACAAAAAGTCTTGCAAGTGCTTTTAGTGTGTCTTTTAAGCGTCAAAATGCCTTTGTTTAATAAAAAATTCGAATCGAAACCTATACTTCCTCGTACCTTACGATCTAATAGCGCTTGTCCTCTGGTCGCAGAAGAACTGGACGATTATAAACAAATTTCCTTGAATTTGGGCAACAAGGAATTACGTTTCATTGATGGCATTTGGATACATACCAATCGAAAAGGAGCACCCGATGATGTTACACGCTTAAATCGTCGTCTTAAATCGTTGGAAGAAAAGTGTAACATGCGTGAGTTAAAAGTGGAAGTTTTACTCGATCTATTAACGGAGCACGCTACAGAGTTGACTGCTTTCAAAGCTAAAGAAAATTAATTTCAGAAAAATATACATATATATATATACATGTATATATACATATTTAAATAAAAATGTTAATATAAAAATATATTCAAATTATTAATGCTCACCATTTTTTTTTTTTCTCATTATTTTTTTTAAAATGGAAAATTTAACGCACAGACGTGATGAAAATATCACTAATCTAATTCACAAGCGTTTTGCTTCCGTACATCTGCAGCGTCTTCAATATACTAAAGTTTATGGTTATTTCTATGAGCGCAAAAAAAATGTTATTAATTCAATATTTCCAAATTTTCTCTCGTAAACAGGCACTTTGTCTATGTACGAAGAAGTCTTCGTTATTGGTTGACTTTGTTAACCTGAAAAGGAATTAAATCTTGCCAAGCATATAGCTTTCTACTATAATGTACATAAGAATTAGGGAATAATTTTTCGCTATAAAACTGTTTGGAATAAACAAAAAATTGTTGCTTGGGTTGGTTATTTACGATATTTAAATCAGATGATTTTTATCTGTTAAATATTTTAGAACACTTTATGGAAATTTTATAAAATTTTTCTATTTTTCAAGTGCTTTGAAATTTGTTTAAAGAAAATAGGATGCCTAAGAAAAAGACTGGACAAAGAAAGAAGGCGGAAAAACAGAAACTCCGCCTTAAAGAGATACGCAACCGGGAGGCCTCACTGGCGGATATGCCCTGTAATGCCCCAATGGAATGCGAGAAGTGCGAGAAAAAGCAAAAATCACGAGCATTTTGTTATTTCTGTCAGAGCTTGCAACGTCTACCTATTTGTGCCCATTGCGGTAAAGTCAAGTGCATGTTGAAGACTGGCGATTGCGTTGTGAAGCATGCCGGAATTTTTACTACCGGCTTGGGTATGGTGGGTGCTATATGTGATTTTTGTGAGGCTTGGATTTGTCATGGACGAAAATGTTTGCAAACGCATGCTTGCACGTGTCCACTGCAAAACGCTGTTTGCCTAGAATGCGAGAGAGGCGTATGGGAACATGGCGGCCGGATTTTTAAGTGCTCTTATTGTGATGGCTTCTTATGTGAAGACGATCAATTCGAACATCAAGCGTCATGCCAAGTTCTAGAGAGCGAAAATTACAAATGCCAATCGTGCAATCGTTTGGGTCAATATTCGTGTTTGCGTTGCAAAACTTGTTACTGCGAGGATCACGTGAGACGTAAAGGCTTCAAATATGAAAAAAATAAAGCCATACCATGCCCTAAATGCAATTATGAGACTTCGTTTACAAAAGATTTAAGTATGTCGACACGTACACATAAGTTTGGACGGCAACAGCAAGGTGGCGTCATCGATAGCGAGGACGATACAGGTGGTGACGGATACTTCAATTATCACGGCGCCGCAAGTGGCTATGATGATGATTATGTTGCCAGCAACTATAGCGACGATGAGGTTTCGGAAGAAGATGGTGATGATGATGATGATGATGATGAAGAAGAAGAGAATGAAGATGAGTCAGAAAATGCTGACGCTAAGGTAGCTAACAAGGATGATGCGAAAACAATAACGGTAGAAAAACATTAATTTTGTTAGTCACAGTGTTGATTTTTTCGGGCAGTCAAAGAATATTTCATAATGTAAAAAAATAGAAATTGCAAAAATAAGAATTTGAAAAATTTATTTAATCCGCCTTTACTATTAGGTGTTTGCAAAAGTTTTGATCATCAATGACAAAGAAATGTAGAAATACCAGTGTACACAACGGTTGAATACGATGCTTTTGACCTTCCGCCGCATAAAATAACACTTTTCCACTTAACATTATCGATTTATTCATTTGATCATGGAGCGCTCGAAATTCTTCTGCCTAAAAATGTCATTGTCTTTGTTGCTTATTTGAAGAAATCAGCGGAATTCAGAGGCTTATGGCAACGCTGTTCCATCATAGCCCAATTGCCGAATAGGTCACACCCGAGGCACTCGTCAGTCATGACGCTCCCTGATTGTGACTTATTCAGTTCGGTGCAGTATGGCTTGGCTGGCACGCGGGTCCGCAAAATTCAAGAAGTGCGGAAATAGGTCGGTTCGTGGATCGCTGCCAAATCAATATAAGCTCTTTAGACACTATATCGCCATGTTGTCAAAAATATTGTAAAATATTGTAAAATATTGTAGAAAATGATGAGGAAGTTATATTCATTAATGTAGATTGAACCGATTTTGTACAATATATTAAGCAAAGCATTTTTCGCTATTTTTGTAATGTTGCTAACCCTGTCTATAGATTTTTGCTAACATTGGCAACTTTATGAGGAACACATGTAATTTGTAAACATTTTGTTGTTTGTGTACATTTCAATTTAGTTTTACGAAAGATGGAATCATTTGCTACACATCCGGAATTTTGCCCATCTTGTGGTACCATATTTCCTCACTTAGATAAAAAAAATGACATCACTTGTTATAATTGTAAAAAAGTATTTCCAGCTGAAAGTATGTATTGTTGGTTAAGAATCCTTACAGGAAACTTGATTGAACATTGTTCGTTTTAGTATTAGGAGATCAAACTGTTGAGTACACCTTACATTTTAATTATTATGATCCTGAAATGTTGAGTAGAAAGAAAAAACAAAAAGAAGAAGATGAACCTGAAGGTCCGATTGTAGAGAGGAAGTGCTCTAAATGTGGCTGTGAAACAATGACCTACGCTACTCTTCAGCTGAGATCAGCCGATGAAGGACAAACAGTATTTTATACGTGTACAAAATGCAAGTGAGTAAACATATCTTGGTAAATGAAATAATTACACAATTGTTTAAAAATTCTTTCACTCTCAGGTCCAAAGAAGTGGAAAACTCATAAAACTCATGGGTACTACTACTTATATAAATGGCAATACTGTTTTAACTGAGCACAAAATAATTGTGCTGCAACGTTATTAGCCCCCAGCTGTTTAGTTAATTCGATTTTAATTTCGCTCAGGTTTTTAAGGAAGCTTTGGTCTTATTACAATTTTTATTATTACGAATAAAGTTGGAAAGCAATTACTGGAAGCGTGCATCTTTCATGGCATCATAAAACTCGAAATTTTCCATTATATATTAAAAGATCTCTGTAAAGCAATTAAAACTAACTAAAGAAAGTCGAAAAAGTATGAATTCATTGATAATTGAGATTAACTGCAGGTTTTACGATGTTACAATCCAATCTAGCTTGCAAATGTCGGCCCCAATGCTCTGATAGGGAACAAAGATATCTTTACAAGTTACTTGAAACATTTGCAAATAGTGAAGATTTCCGTGTAGAAGGCAGCGTGGGAAACACATTAAAGACATATGCACAACACCCCATATCCAAACATACAAGCATACAAGTTTAGAGGACCAGTTGCTTTCTCTAGCGTATTTTCTTAGTAAAGCTCCCATGCAGGGTTTATTCCCCGGTCTTAAATTACACCGCGACAAATATTTCTTAAACAAAAAAAAAAAAAAAGAAGAAAATTTCGCTAATTTAATAAATAAAATGCCGGAGCTTATTTAAGTAATAAACGAATATTAATAAAATGACCACAATTAAGGAACTAAGTATGAAAAAGATCCATTTCCACAAATGACGGATTCAGTATCTGAAACTTTTTTAAAAGATAATAAATATGCTTTAGTACTTTCGTGTTAACACGAAGAGAGTAGCGTGTGGAATAGATCAATTTTATTAAGAAAGAAAGTATTAACCAAATCGTTGAAGGGCTGCGACAGTTATTTAAAGAAAATAATCATGTTTAATAGCCTGCAAAGGAGAATTTAAAGAATACGTTGATAAGCTGATAAGTTATTCTCCTAGAAATCTACCTCAGAAGCTGTTAATCGATTCCTTGGATTATATACAACTAAATTGGCAACCAGATCAATCTCTATGCCATAAGTGCAACTGGGAAATAATTTATCCCATTGTATGCCGGTCGCATTGGGAAATCTGTGTAAAAAGCTTTTATTATTGTATTGCTTAGCTAGAAACAGTTGGTGCATAGAGTGTGTACCTGATTTTATTATAATCCGGTAAAGAAGTTAATTCAGGCCATTCATTAAGACGCGGCGTCCCTAAAGTACGTATTACCAAAGCCAGTTGTTCAATGTCGGTGGTGCCCTTTTAAATGAACGCAAATACGAGAAAGTGAATAATTTTCATAGGAATCAAAAAAGCAGACATTTACCGCAAATAAAGGTACTCCCCTTAACATTTCAGCTAGAACGCATCCCGCAGCCCAAATATCGACAGGTGGTCCATATTTTTGGCAACCCCATAAAATTTCTGGTGCCCGATACCAACGGGTCGATACTTGAGGTGAATATAAACGATTATTTGCCTCAGGAAAGTATAGACGAGCCAAACCAAAGTCAGCAATTTTTAGTATATCATTTCCATTTATTAATAAATTCGCTGGTTTTATGTCCTGATGATTGTCCGATTAATGACACAATATGTTATTGGAAAACTAACTGTTTTGCTTACCCTATGCATTATTTCCTTGAGATGTAAATACTCGATACCCATTAACATCATTTGTGTATATTTGCGAACTTGTTGCCTACTTAGAGGATTGCTATCATTTTTCAATCTACCATATAACGTATCGGGCATATATTCTAAAACCATACCCAGACCAATTAAATCGGGAAATACTTCCAAAATATTAACGATCTTTACAGGAAAGGGGAACACAAATAATTATTGAAAATAAATTGCATTTATTGTCTACATACATATTCGCAATTGACCAATTGCAGAATTTTTATTTCCCGTACTGTGTTTAACGAAATATTGCCAAATTTATTTTTTAGAACAACTTTCTTAATTGCAACGAAACGATTACGTTTTAAATCGATAGCTTTAAAAACGCTACCATGAACTCCTTCACCAACTTTTTCCAATATTTTATAACGACTTGGAGCATACTCTTGCATATTTTTCGTTCAACTATTTTTCTTTTTTCCTTATTCAATAATAGTTGAAGAAGAGTTTTTTTTTTTTTTTTTTTTTTTGAGTTTATTCCGTTTCTAATAGCAACTGATTTTTGACTTTTAATATCAGGTAATAAATCGGGTGGGTCATCGAATTTTTTTAAAGATAAAAAAGCGCGCCCTACACAAAAATCACATAAAATTCATCAAAGGTCATTGACTGAATGAAAAGATTACAGCTTCGTTTGATTTTGCTCTCCCTAATGCCGGTCAAAAGACCTACCACTTAGTAACATTTGAACATAGAACAACTTGTTGCCGGTTTGTTATGAAACTGAGTTCATTAAGAAGATGACTAAAATGTAACGCATGCCCAGCTATTCTTCAATTTTCTTCCTTTTCACTTTTTTTCATCTAATGTCAGTGCTTAAAGGATACACAATTTTCATTTATTAGAAAAATTTTCGCTCCTAAAGTGTTTAAAAAGTGCAATACAAAAGTTGTTATATTTTAAAGAAACTTAAAAAAGAATTTTGTAATAATAAAAAAAAAAAAAAAGAAGAAACCGAAAGTTGTACATACATTAAAACTGGAATGAGAAGAGGCAAGTAAATAATCAAGGTTTCTAGGTTTTTCATTACTAAAATAATTTGCAAAAATCAATAATTGCTTGATTAAGAAGGAATACTAGCTTGTGTGAGCCCAAAGGGACGAGTCTCTTTCGATACGATGGGATGATCCAAATCAGTTAAGGAGGTAATGTGCACGATGAACGAGATAGGCCCCTTGGTCTCAATGTGATGTGATGAGTCGCTGAATATTCCAACTTGGGCATACTGGTTACGCAATGTCTTTGAATTGCGGTGAAATGGTCAATTTTCAGGAGCCAAGCATCCTTTAACCGAGAAAATATCGTTCTTGATTCATCAATCATCGGCAGAGGGGGAAAGTTAATTTGCCAACAATTGCAACTGATTAGAACAGTTACGACACAATGTCTTTAGACCCGACACATAGAGAATGGAGGGGGAACATCATCTCAATTTTAAAAATTTTCTAATGTGCGAATGGAGAAAAAAATTGGTTTGGTCGCGGCGACGTTTTTGAAAAGTCTCTTAATAAATTTAGTGACACGCAGAGACAACAGTTATTTTCGCTCTATATTAGGTATATAAAATTACGTACAATTATTTTATTATTTGTAGGAGATAACGCTTTGACCTGAAGTACGCCATGAAATTTTTACTTTTGCTGTTAATGACCAGCGGCAGTATTTATGCTCGCACGGCTAAACGATCTGATGTTTATATTGCTGGCTTTTTTCCGTATGGCGACGGTGTGGAAAACTCGGAAACGGGTAAAAATTTAAAGAACAAAACCCTCCCCCCCGGGGGGGGGGCGCGAAAGAAAAGGGGGAAATAATTTTATGTTATTATGCAGGACGGGGTGTTGGGGGG